GAGATATCAGTTACTGCTCTGGTGTGGAGAGTGTTAAAGAAACATTCTGTACAGTATCATCCTTTTTAAATATGTCATCGCCACCAGTGAATTAAGAAATACTGCACAAAAAACTATCAGTATCATTTACACAAATAATGAATAACTAAGTATTCAAACAGTTTGTTGAAGGTCCTTATTAGTCACACTAATAGAAATAATTTATTACCATCTTTTACTTTCTAACTAAGTCAATTTTCTAGCTATTTCTTAACATTTCCATTAGTTAAATAAGATTTTTTGTTTGTATATTTAACTAATACCTTTCAGTGGATAGTTGAATAACTATTTGAGTGGCTCATCATAAGATATAGAAGTCCTAACATTGTTCAGGAGGAAATGCATTTCAAAATCATGCTGGGCATTGTTTATTACTAGTAAGTCTTGTCTTTCAAGATAAATTAATGTTAGTATATCAAAACTTCGTACTAACACGGGAAATCATACTTGTGAGTTCCTGAGTCTCCCACAGTATATTTACATTATCTATCTTCCCATCATTAGGAATTTTATCAGTATCTAGAGACCTTTGTATTACAACAGTTAGATTTTGAACTACATTATTAAGCATTTTCAATATATTGGAATAAATTGTGTCAGTTCTTGTACCTTTCAAATGTTTTACAGGTTTCTCCATATGTTTAAACAAACTGAACAGATTATGAATTTCTTCTTTATTAATAAAAACATTTGTAAAAAGTTGTTTAACTCTTTACCTGTATTCCCATCTTCCATAATAAAATTTCCATTAAAACTTGTTAGGACAAACCATTCTTTTTCTTGCAGACACTTAAGCATAAGAATTCAAATCAAACTGATGTTTTGAGCTGAGAGACTTTAGTAGTTCCTTTAATGTTTAGCATTAGCTTTCTTAACTCATGTTATTTTGATAACCTCTGCATCCTCTACTTTACTATTAAATTTCATATTCTTCTAAACTTAATGTTTGCCAGTTTTTAATAGTTCAATTCCCTTTTCAATCCATTGAGGAGTAGGTTCTTGGTTGAAATGCAAGAATGTAGAAGGAAAATATTCCTTTTCCTCTGATTTGATGAAGCAAGAAAACATTATCTAAGTCTCACCAATACTTTTCTTATTTATATTCATAACTTAATCTCTCTCTCATGTATTTTCTTCAATTTCTGAAGATGGACCTTCCTATTAGTCTTATAATTAGTTTTAATATTGAGCTCTAGCACTGATTACCTGCTTGTATAATAAATGATTAAGTCATCAGGTATCCTGCTTTTACCTAATTCTTCTATGAAAAAAACATTTAAAAGGGGTGAAAAGAAGAATCCTTTTTTTTTCATGTCTGTGTTATAAAGTGAATAGCATGATTAGCAGCAATATTTTCAGGTTAGGCATAAATACAAGCCAAAACAAATTATTTTCACTTGGGGGATGTGTTATTGCAAAAGCTTTAGTTTGTTAATCACACATCCTTTTAAAAAAATTATTTTCTGTAAATTCCTTTGTCATGAAAAATTATAAAATGACTACTGTGACTCTTATTGACATTTTTTACTGTTTATTGTGTGAAATTCCTATAATTATTTTGCATTTTGATTCTCAATTTCCTATGAACATGTACAATTTCATTTTCAACTTGATGGCCTAACATTGAGACTTATTTCTTAATCAAGTGTTTTTACCTAACAAAAGTTTTAATCAATACTCCTAAGAAATTAAAACATAATACAATCCCAACCTTTTTACACCCTGTAACCCAAGTAACACCATTGAGCTTGGGTTGTATCCCTGATGCATGTAATTTATAAAAATAAAAAAAGGTAAAGAATGATTTATGTTAATAAATGTTATTAAAACAAAGGAAATAGTTAAAATGGGAACATTGAGTGCTGGCTATTCAAATACATTTGTAATTCACCAAGAATGCCTATGAGGTATTTGGTTTATTTTTAATGTTTTTTCAAATGTTGTGTATCCCAAGGGGTAAGCATATCACAGATTGGAAACCACCGACCTAATAAAACCTTGGTCTGTTGGATTACAGTGGGTTGAGTTGCAGTTTTCAAGAAACTTAAAATGAATATGGAGTTTGTGTAGAGTGTGCTTAATGAAGGATAGGTTGGAGTTTATTTTGAAGAGTTGAAAAAGCAGGTTGAAATAGCAAATTATAAAATCAAAGAATATATTTAATATAATCTTAAAGGTTGCTCCTGTGAACAAAGGAAGGAAAATGAGGGAACATGAAAAGTTATATGGCAAATTGTCGGATACTTTAAGTTAGATGATAATTCAGGTCACATTCATTTCTTCTTGAGATCAATATTGCATGGTAATGTGTGAATCTGAAATGTCGTTGAACTTTAATTGCCTGGCAAGTTTTTTTATGTAACTTTACTCTGCAAATTTTTCTGTTAAATTATACTTGCTAATCATGTCTCTTAAAATGCAGGTTCACTCTATTAAAGAAGGGCTAGGGAAGTTAGCCTGTGTATAGTGTCAATAGATCTGTTAAATAATTTGAGTTTCTGGTTGTGGATGGTAGATTCTGAAGTTTTTGTATTAGGGGATTCACCACTTGAATACTTCACAAGCTGTTGAATTGCTCAAGGAAACTACAGCTAGGTTTTTTGATGTTGTGGATACTTTGCTGGCACAAACCTAACTTACAGACGAGAGACTATTTGGTTCTTTATGGCTAAACCTGTATACCAACCCAAAGAAAGAGAAAAGTAAAAATTAAACCCATCCTTTATTTTTCAAGAAATAATCAATTTCCCCTCTAATACTCTTGTAAGGTGTTAACCTCCACTACTGCTGATAGCAAATCATTCTTTAAGTTAATCTCCCTGATAGGGAAATAAAACTGCTTTAACTGGTGGAGCCTAGACAGTCTTTTATGATTTTGATCTTATCTTTAGAATTCAACTTAAGAAATAAGAACATTTTATCCTACTGATCCCTTGGATAACTTTCTCAACTACAAGAAGGTCATTTCTTACCTCTCTTTTCTCAAGAAAAAATAAGTTAAGAGATCTGAACCTATTCTCATTAGATAACCTTTCCATTCCAGGAATCATCCTAGTAGCCCTACTCTGAACCCTTTACAATGAGTCAATATCCTTTCTTAGATACGGAGACAAAAACTTGCATACTATTCTAAGTAAGCTTTCTAATTAATTGCTTAAACAGAAAATTTATCTTTTGAGTTGTAATCAGTATGTCTATAAATACATCCTGATGCTATATCAGTTTTAGTTGGATTTTGAAATGTATTTATAGACATATTGGCTATAGTTTCTGTTTAAGTTTCCTCAAAAGATATCACAGTTATAGAGTTGAAAGTACCTGACTCGAAGTCATAGATGTGTGCAATATTAAAACAATAAAACTATCATTTGCATGCAATCATAACATTGACTTCAAATATTTTACTAAGCACCATTTAGTACAACAGAAGAAAATTACAAAAGGATGCAGGAAATACATAGTTGGGATTTACCTCGGATGATTAGGATGCATAGGAGAACCATGGGATTCTTTCTCTTACACCTGATGACATGTCAATCATCCAGACTTTTCCTATTGCCCTTTCCCTTCCACCAGAATTTTACCACACCAGCACACCCTCCCCATAATTACAGAAGCTTGAAATAATACAGTATTATGATAAGCAGTCAACCACAAACAAAAGCCCCTTTTCTAGAAAACTCTACTTTCTGAATGTAACAAAATGAGGTAAATTCATATGCACAATTCCACAAATGATTATTATTCATGAAACACAGGAGGTTTGTAAATGAAGTAAAAAAAATGTAAAAATGACATCCTCAAATCATGTAGCAATAAATGTGTGAGTCACTGCCAGGCTGAGCATGACTAGTGGTTAGCATGGTGGACTATGGATTTGCATCCCATTACCTAAAAAATAAGTCTCCCTCTATATTTGGGAGCTGTGGATGCATTATAAAGTTGATGTCAAATCCCACTATTCAGTCAGACAAGAGTAGCTGAAGAGTTAGAGTTTGGTGCTGCTGACTAGCTGCCTTCTCTTTAGTCTCATTACTCAAAATTGGGATGGTTAGCACAGATAACTTTGCACAAATATCTGAAGACAAACATTGCAGCAAAATGTATAATATAACAGAAACAAAAAAGTCCTCATATGAATTCAAGTATAGTCAAAGTATCGTAATGAAATATTATAATAATAGGAACCCAAAGAACTTTTGTTACTATTATATAAACCCTTATTTCTCAAAACCTTTGTACATACATTACAAACCTTCCAAAGCCCCTTGCTTCCCCCCCCTAACCATCACCTGTGAATGCAAGTAACTATTAATATTTTAGGCATTGGTGTGGTACTTTTCACAGTTGCTTCTTGTACATGGACAGGACTTAATAGTTTACCATATGTCAGCAAAATTTGAAAGAGTCAAGCTTGCAACATTGATTAAGTTGACATTCAATGGCCCAGAAATTTTAAGCAGGATGCATTGATTAAATAATTAAGTCATAAAGTGAATTAATAAATCTGTGGGACAAAAGGTTATATCATGATAATCCTATCACATGTATGTATATTTACATCTATATTTAAATGTATTGGTGGAGGTACTTTTACGTAGGTTATTATATTTTTGTTCTTATTTCATGTAGCTGAAAAAGAACATTTGGACCTGGTTGATTTTTAATGTCAGGACTGACTGGACCTACAACCCAATTTTCCACACCTGAGTGTAATTTAATAGTTATTTCAAATTTAATTTCTCAAAATTCTAGACTTTCCTATTGATCTGTAGATTGAGACAAGTATATATTGCATGAGATATTGGCTGAACCAGAAGATTTTATTCTTAGAAGTGTTAATAAAATACTTGCTGCTGTTACATATTAATTTTGCATAACATTTGTACTGTACATGATAACATGAACCCAAGAGACATTTGTATGTTTTTTAAATTTGTGCTTGTATTTTAAAATATCAGGTCAAGATGGCTTTACGGACTTCGGGTCATCTTCTGCTGGGAATTGTGCGAATCTACTCAAGAAAAGCTAAGTATTTGCTAGCAGACTGTAATGAAGCATTCATCAAGATCAAAATGGCTTTTCGTCCAGGAATAGTTGACCTACCAGAAGAAAACAGAGAGGCAGCTGTGGCAACCATCACTTTGCCTGAAGTTTTTCATGACTTTGATACAGCCATGCCAGATATGAAGTAATTTTTGTTTTATTGTTATTTTATTTATTCAGGGGTATAAAAATACACTAGCCAGATGCATTGGATTGCCAAATTTGGAGTTCAGACTATGTGAATTCCTAGTGCTAGTGCAGTTCTGCATGCATAAAATGTGTGCATATGTGTAAAATTTTAAAAATACTATCTGCTATTATTTTTTCTTTCAAATTATTAAATATTTTGTGTCACTGTAAGATCAGTAGCCTTTTTATCAATGATAGGCTAATCCATCTTAAAGCATGATATACAAACAATTATGTGGGAACTCTGAATGTAGCAATGACATTCTTGTTAATCAGATGTTTAAATGTTGCATACATCAATGGCTAGAAACTCATACCACTTTGGCCCTGTGTCTGTCCCACTCTTGGGGTGAGTCCATCTCAAGAAGTGACTCTGATATTTGTACAAATTGGCATAAGTTAAGAGTTTTTTCTCCCTGTAAATGTTTTTTGGAATAGGCAGTGGTGCATGCAGTTTTGTATCCTGGTATACCACACTGACATCTTGTTTGGATTTGTTAAGGAAAACTAGAAACTTTGTACTTGGCCTGTGCAGACATTGAAACTAGAAACTTCTCTCAATTCCAGTATCCAGTTGAATTTACCATAGGAAAGGAAGAATCTGACCAGTTTGTGAATAAATATTTTGTTTTATTTGTTCACTCATATTTCTTTCCTTTTCTGCATGATTTCCAAATTATTCTCTGCATTACATATCTGGAATCTGCATTCTTGTGGATATAAAACAACTTTACACCTCTGTTATTTATTTCTTTGTTTCTTGTTTTTTTTTCTGTGTCTGTATTTGCTTAAATAATGTTGTTCAGACTTTGGTGCCATGAAACAGAGATGCTATAGTTTTTATTATAGTCAACTACTTTGAGAGAATAAATCCTATTTTATATATCAAAATATTTATTTTGTACCACATTTCTGAATTAATGAAATATTACACATTTAATTATTTTGCTATAGCAATCTAGGCATGGAAACACCAGTGACTTTAAATCAAAGCCGAGCAGAAGACATTACACTCAAGGAAGACTATGGAACTCTTACTCTTATGGCTGATGATGGATTTGGTGAGTTTGGTAAGAACATTATTTCATTTTATTATACTTTAAGCTGGTTTTGATACCTGTGGTGGACACAACACAGATAGCTCGTTGTTAGCTTTGTAATTAATTACAAAAGAATGAAAAATATATTTTAAGTGTTCTTTGTAATAGTGTAACTATATTTAAACTTTATTGTATGCTTTAAATCCAGTAGTGGATGTTCATGACTTAGTGGCATAAATCTTTCACATTTGGCCACATTAAATTAAAACTCACTTCCTTGCCCAGCCATAATGAACAATATTCCAAGGTAGTTATTTTCATACTATGATACTTCTTGCGAATTATAAATAAAGTTCATTAGTCCTTATCATTTACTGATAGTATTGTAAAATTATTAAAACATGTGAAACTCCCATCAATAAAATCTATATTTTTATCATGTTAAAAGCTTCAATGTAGTTTTTTTGTACCTATTAGAGTTATATTTGTAAAAAATATGCTCTAATAATGTACTGGGTTGTTACTTAGTAATAATCTATCAAATGTAAAATAAATTTCTCAAGTAGAACTATATTCCTATAAATATTAGTCTCCTCATATGCTTTCTGGTAGATGTGTGTGCCAGAATTTGTGAACACTTGCCATGTAGAAGAAAAAACGAAAAGGTAAAATTCTAAATATATCAACAATATTCTGATATTTTAACTTCTACTAATGTAGTATTTCTGTTTGAATTATAATTTTTCAGTTGTTAAAGATACCCAAAACATTGAATATTATGATGGCTGTCTAATGACCTGAATAGTATACAAATAAATGAATTCTAAAAATATTAAGATTAATTTTTTTCCAGATGGTTTACGGGTCAAAGGCCATGTCAACGTGTTTTTTGACTCGCATTCAAAACTTTATTGAACTGCTATTTCATGAATTTATGCAGTAAGTTTGGTATCAAACTGTAGATTATAATTCAAATTTTAGTATTATACCTTACTCAATTTTATAATTTAAAAATAAATATTAAAAAACACAGTTAAACACCGAT